TCAGATCACCATCCATACCCTTTCTATATGAAAGTTACTTACAAATTGTTGCATCTGCAGGCTCCACGACCTTCCACGTAACTCGTCTTGTAAGCTGTTCCTAGATGGTTAGAAATTTTTCTACTACATGACCAGGTGCGTTAACATCCCACCTAAACTGGGGGGCTAGTAAATTTATTTTCACCAGCAATTCCTCATCACATCCCACCATCTTATTACAGATTGAGATCCATTATGAGAGGATGCATATTACTCTAGCAACGGCCCAAAGAGCGAGAACACTCCATACCACATCGCCAAAGGTAACTATACTTCCACTCGCATTCAACACACGGATGATCTTATTTAATCCTACTAACGTGAAAAAATAATTCCACCAGCAGGCATGATCGCATAGTAACTCGCAGCAACTCAAGACTTGATTTCATATCTCGAAGTGCAAGAAAAAAAAAAAAAAAAAAAAAAAAAAAAAAAAAACATCCCCATAGCATGGTACGTAGATCGGCAATGCGCATCCCCTCAGCTTAAATTACTAAGTCTTCAATACAAATGCTTAGACAAAACTCTTTTTTCTCAATTATATTTGACAGGCGTAGAAACGCCAAAGGATTCATTTTACCATCAGCACAGCAAAACGAACGAGTACAAGCAAGACGTGGAAGAAGAAGAACAAGTGTAGTACAATCACTTAGAACAATTTTTATCAAGTCAAAAAATTTTTTTTTTTTTTTCTCTCTCGCTCCACCAGTAGTTATTTACCTTTGCCTCACGTAGGCCCATCGCATTAGTCATTTACTTACATTCGCCTCACATAGGCATGTAATAATTCTCCTTTGCTATCGTTGAATAAAGAATACTTTTTGCTTTACTATCTACGCCTTTACGTCTATACAAATTACCTCTTACCATGAGTTCAAGTCAATATCACCCTACAAACACTTAGAGAGATTTAGATAATCCGTATAGCCTGGCCAGCTGGATTAGCTAAGTCCTTTTATTTGTTTCACGAGGTGTTAATTTTAAAACGTGGCCACGGACAAATATATTTAAGACCCAAGCGGTCCGAACAAAGGGCACGACCCTTAACAAAAATCTTGGGAGACTGATCCCCTCCTCAAGTACATCGCGTACAATGCTAAGTGTAAATACATATAAGCAGCGCATTAACTCTTGACAATGTCAAAACAAATAATTCAAGATACCAAATTTCAAATGTCGAACAAGGAAAAAATTCAAACGAAATAGTAGAGGACATACCCATCTACATTAGCGAGAAAAAAAATATAAGACTCCAAACACAAAAAAAAATATATATATATAAGTTTAACTATCCTAGCAAATAAATCTAAACTCCCCTACTGCGGGCGGAAGACGTCCCCACAGTGGGATCATCAGCAACCATATCAGCCACAAGCTATGTGCCTGTCCCATCAACATCTACCTCATCATCCTCTCCATCCGAGATACCAGCCTCCATCCCTCGAATCACCTTCTCACTGATACCACCCGCATCGCGAAGATATTTGCGACAAGCACGCACTAATGGCTTATAGACCACAGCCAACGCATGCTCCTCAATCATAGCAGCACACTCATCACTACCTCGGAAACTAAGCTTGGTTTCCTCCACGATGGACTCCTTATAAGCCGCACCACCTGATGTCGTGAGGAACCTCTTCCCCGTCGCCTTCTCAACTTCGTATTTCTCCTTGAGCTGTTCGTAGCATTCGTTCAACTTGTGAACATCATCCTTATACGCCTTCGCATCACCTCGGATAACCTCGAGCTCCTCTGTCTTCTGCGCAAGCTCCTTTGTCTTCCGAGCAAGCTCTTCCGAGCGTTGAGCAAGATCGGACCGCGCTACTTCCAACTGGCTTAGAAGATCATCCTCACGCGCGTGAATTCGAGCCCGCTCCTCTTCCTTCATAGCTTCCACGTTCCTACCGTGCTCCATGAGATATCTCCAAGTCGCCACCAACTACATAAAAAAAAAAAAAAAAACAAATAATAATAAATAACAATATTTTTCGCAAATCAAGAAGGAATAAAACATAAAAAATTGTCTTAAGTAGACAAGTACTCACCCGACATATGTCCCCACCAGCTAACTCTAGCATGTGAGAAGGACCCTTACCAGACATCCGTGCACGGTCATACTCTCGAACGAATCCATCGGTACTCAACATCGGCAAATCATAGTCCGATACATCCCAGTACGATTCCTTACCATCGCGGTTCACGCCATAAGTAAACAATTGTTTCCCTCCTCCACCATGGAAAGCATAAGTCTCCTCTGGGTCTACCCGGGGACGCTTAGGCACAGCCACATACTCGGTATCCACCCTCTTTCCCTTGCCACGATCCTTCTTCGGTGGACGCCCCTCCACTTCACCAGCACTACTACGGTCATCTGCGACTATTCGAGGAGTTTCTACATGAACCTCCTCACGAGGCAAACCACTTGAAGACCTCCCATCGCTGAGGGTACCTTCTTCAATGACTTCTTCGACGTCCCATTCGCCTTAGCTTGAAGTGCCGCAAAAGTATTCCCCCATCTACAAAAAATATCAGTAGAGCAA